AAAAAAAAAGGACAATTTAATAAGAGTCCTTTCCTTAGTTGGGTATTTCTGTAAATGACAAAAGTTAGAAAGAACAAAGCATCTGAAGGAAGCATAAATTCTGCCTTGTATGGACATTCTTTTGACCAAAGCCAACACTCTGTATTGTGAAGGATGACAAAAGCCTTTTATGTGTGATCTACACAAATTAGGTAGCCATTTAATGTTTAAAAAAAAATACTCCCATATTAAAGAGCTACACTAGTTGTGGGAATTTTGTGAGAGAAAAATGCCAGAAATGGAATTTGAGTGTGATTAAACATGAGATTAGAATCCTGGTATGGCACTGTAAGATAAGCACTGGACTATGAACCACAAAATCAGTGGTTCAAATCTACCAGCTGCTCCTCAGAAGTCCTGTGTAGGACGACAATGAGTCAGAATCAACTCAATGACACTTAACAACAACAAACATAGATGAAATTGCACTCACTAGAAGTCAGAACTGAGTCTATGGCAGTGGGTTTTACATTATTTGGAAGCCACGATGACTCCATTATTAAACTCTTAGTTATTTAGTGCCGTTGTTGTTGTTAAGTACTGTTGAGTTAGGTCCAACTCACAGCAACCCTGTATAGGGTTTCTGAGGAGCAGCTGGAGGGTTTGAACTACTGACTTTGTGGCTAGCAGTCCAGTGCTGATCCACTGCGTCACACCAGAAGCCTAGAAATACCATAAATGGGTGGCTTTAACAAACAGAAGTTAATGTTTTCACAGTTCAGGAGATTAGCTGTCCAAATTCAGGATGCTGACTCTAAGGGATGGCTTTTTCTCTGTCAACTCCAGAGGCAGGGTCTTATCCCTTTGAGCTTATGCTTTTGGGTGATCGTCATTCTTCATAGGACTTGGAGTTTCTCTTCTTCCTATCTGTTTGCTTGCTTGCTTGTTTAATCTCTTTTATAACTCAAAAGAGACTGACTCCCACTGGGGGCTAGAGCTGAGAGTTAACTGTCCAGCTGATATGAAGTGCAGAGAGAGAGACTTGCTCAAGACACTAACTGTCGCTAATCTCGCCTTGTTAATATAACAAAGACATAACATTCCCAAATGGGACTGTAACCAAAGGCCTAGAAATTAGGATTTACAACACACATTCTGGGGGACACAATCCAGTCTGTAACAAAACGTATACAAGTTTTTCTAACCATAATTTTTGTTTCTCTTATGCTTCTGGGGTTTGGTAGTGGTTGACCTTGCTAGTGTTAGGGGCTTTCTGTTTAACTTCTTTATGATACGCAATTGTGAAAGCTCTCTGAGAAGTTCCCCCTCCTTTTCTGCTCAACATAGCGTGAACTGCCAGTATCTTCTCTACTCATTACTCTTTTCAGCTAGTTTTTAGTTCTGCTCCAGGACTCAGTCAAAAGTTCTCTCTCATAGGTCACTGTTGTTGTTGTTAAGTGCTGTGGAGTTGGCTCCGATTCATAGTGACCCTGTACAGGGCTGCCCATGAGCACCTGGTGAGTTTGAACTACTGACCTTGCAGTCCAGCGCATTAACCCACAGTGCCATATCAGGACTACTCATAAATGATTATTGTTGTTAAGTGCCATCGAGTTGGTTCCGACTCATAGAGACCCTGAACATGGTTTCCAAGGCTGTAAATCTTTACAGGAGCAGACAGCCTCATCTTTTTCCTGCGGAGCAGCTGGTAGTTTCAAACTGCTGTCCTTGTGGTTCGCAATCCCATTCGTAACCACTACGATACCAGAGTTCATAAGAGATCAGTGAAATATCAATATGCCCAAGAATATCAGAACCCAACAACTTATTTTTAATAGTTGCCTTAACTATTTTACATTTGTGTTTCTCCAGATGATATTCAAGTGTGGCAACAACTGTGAGGTTGGCCCAGGATTGGGCAGTGTTTCATTCTGCTGTGCCTAAGGTCGCTATGAGTCGGTACCGATTTGATGGCACCTAACAACAACGAGATGATATTCATGTATTTTTAAGGTCAAGAAATATGATGCGTACTTTTTTCCATACACAGTCACAGCACTGGCACAATTTTTCAACTGTGGATAAATAGACGAGGTCTGACTAGGAACAAGACGGCAGCTGAGGGAGTCTCTACCAGTGACAGAAATTACTTGGGAAGTGAACCCTTGTGGCTTGGTATCCTGAGGATGATCAGGCTAAGAAAACCACTCTAGAAGCTGAGTCAAAGAAAAATTTAAGTCCAGGGTTCTTAACATCTGAGAAACAATTTCAAGAAATTTACAGGAAACTCCAACCTACCTGGTATTCTGATGTTAGGGCCCCAGGGGTCATTTTATTTGCTATAGTTTCTCTCTGGGTCTCATCAGCATCCTCAGATAACAGAGCTGCAAAAGGAAAAGTCATGAGATTTGCATCTCCCAAATCCCTCAAATAGAAAAACTGCCTATAGCCCCAATACAGCCACACACGGATATACAAAAGGGTTACGGCAGTCTGAAGCCTCCTCAAGCAGAAACATCTGCAGGATGTTGTCAGGTAATGGTGGTGGTGGTTGTGTGCCGTGGAGTCGGTTCCAACTCCTAGCAATCCTGTATAGGGTTTCCAAGGCATAAATCTTTATGGGAGCAGAATGTGTCATCTTTCTCCCGAGGAGCGGCTGGTAGTTTCAAACTGCTGACCTTGAGGTCAGCAGCCCAACGTGTAACCACTTTCCCAAAAGTCGACACTGATCGAGAAGCACAGCTCTAAAAAGTCACTCCTTTGCTCAAAAGTTCTTATGTTTCCCAACTAAAAAGAAAAAAAAAAAAAAATCAAAATACTTAACCATGAACTTCAAGACCCTCCATAACCAGGCCAAAGATTTTTCTGTAAGTGTTGACTCCTTTTAAATGACATTCTTCATCACTGGATATACATACTTATACACATCTTAAACTTCAGTAAAAGCAAAATACCTTGATAGAATCCATTGCAGTACTTTCTGGGTAAAACCCATCAGGACCAATTCAAGTGACATTTTTTCAGACACTCTTAAAGCAAAAGACTCCCTATCCCCTGGACTTCCCAAAAGCTTAGTTTGTAATCCCTACTGTGGCACCTACCTCTGGCTGCCTTCTATTTATTATATTTATTTATATCATTTTCTCCATCAATGGAATATTAGTGTGAGTATATGGATGGAATGGAGTCCTGGTGTGGCACTTAGGGTTAATGTGCTGGACTGCAAGGTTGGTTTGAATGCCAAGGTTGGAGGCTCAAGCTCACCAATAGCTTCTCAGAAACCCTATACAGGGTCACTATGGGTCGGAACTGACTCAACGGCACTTAACAACAACATCTGGATAGAACTGTATCTTGTTGACTTCTTTTCCCATCTGCTAAAGTGCAAAGCATAAAATCCTGTCAGACGGCTGAATTAAAGAAATACTGGCTTAATTTGGTGTACTAAAAATATAAAAAAGAAGTTAATACATCATTACAGTCCCTTACATTTGTTTGCAACTTGTTATCATGAATATTGAATACCCATAAATCTAGATTCAACCATCATTGCCATATTTGTTTTTTTGAATCATTTCTAAGTTGCAGACATGACACTTTATCCCTAATACTTCAAGTAAGGGTCTTCTCTTATATAATCGCAATATCCTTTCTAGCATCCAAGGAAATTTACATAGTATCAGCTAAATATTCAGATTTTCCCTACTATTTCCAAAATGTCTTTTACTCTGGATTTTTCAAACCAGGAGTCCTGGTGTGGCACTGTAGGACAGGCACTCGACCACAAGGTTGGTTTGAACCACAAGGTTGGCAATTCAAACTCACCAGCCACTCCTCAGAAACTTTATACAGGGTCGCTATGAGTTGGAACTGACTCCACGGCACATAACCACCACCATCTAATCAATGTTTCACACATCCAGATTGATTAATATATCTATTATTCTAAAACGGTTGGTTGGTTATATAGCGACCCTGTATAGGGTTTCTGAGGCTGTACATCTTTACAGAAGCAGAAAGCCTCATCGCTCTCCCGCAGAACAGCTGGTAGTTTCGAACTGCTGACCTTGCGGTTCGCAGCCCGATTCGTAACCACTAGTCTGTAACTCCCCTTTTTCCCATGACATTAACTTCTTAAGAGACCAGAAGTCTGACTGTATCCTTATGGTGAAATTTACCGTACTTCTCCATCTCCTATATTTCTGTACAGTTTGGTCTTTAACCTTGAACCTTAAGGTTAAACATTTTTGACAGGTGTGCTCTGTACTGTATTACCCAGAAGGTAAAAAAGGTCAGGTTGTCCCATATTGAGGCACTTAGTTAAGATGGTGACCACTAGATCTCACCACTGGAAGTAAGCTTCTTCTTTTGCATTTAGTAAGTCCATGGGGACAATATTTTGACACCATGTGACTGTCCTGGTCCCAACCAGCCTCTCAATGATTTCATTTACAATGAAAGATTCTACCATTCCTTCTACATCTATTGGCAGGTATCTTCTGTAAATCGCTTTCCCTCACCAATGGAAATTAAACTAAAAGACACGGTTGATGCATCAGTCATTACCATAATATTGTTTTCAAAGTAAGGAATCATTATATTGCTCACACACAATGCTGACAAATGAGTTTTCCTCTTCATCCTTCTCTAAGTGTCATCAAGAACTTGGGAAGTTTTATATAGTCACAGTATACAATCAATTTGGACACTTTATACTGTCCCGAATTTGCCCTGTGGGAGCCCTTTGAACTTAATTCCTACATTCTTTTGATAAATTTCTGTTAGTCTTTGAGTATCTCCTTGCTTTCTGGAATTAACTACTCACCTGGTAATTTCCCTGCTGTCTTCTACTTCTGTCCAAGTTACCTTTGTGACCCTGGGCAGGTTTTAAGTTTCTTCACTATAAAATAAGGCTAATCAGACAAGTCCTCCCTGCTCCACATGCCCATGGGGAAGAGGAAAAGTAAAGCACATGGCTATGACACTGGTAGTATTGGTTTTAGACTACACTAATCACAACTATCCCGGAAAACCTCAGAGCAGATGTCATAATCAAGAATTCTAGAGTCCATCAAGACCCTGTGGGCCCAAGCGTTGTTGACCGTCCAAACCATAGGCTCTGAGGATCAGACTTTAGCCACCTAGTAGACATAGCAAACTGTCCCTCATCTGATTATTCAGTAATGCTTGTTAGTAATCTCATACATGAGCCCTGGATATCCACAGACAAATGTAAAAACCTTCCCTAAAAGCCGAGACTTTAAATTCCAAAAAGGCAAGTCCCCCCCCCCCCCAAAAAAAAAAAAAAAAGCTAAAGAGGATAGAGAGAAACACTGTTAACTGATGATATATGGAGGGGATAATAATCAATGTAATGAAACAAGCTATATGAATGGTTGAATGTGAAGCTGATGATGTGCCCTGTAAACTTTCACTCAATCCAAAATAAAAACATTTAATAAAAAAATTAAAAAAAAAAAAGAATTCTAGAGTCCTGCTTTTCTCCAATTTGTCTACACAAAACATGCTTCCATCCAGGTGTCTACCTTCATTCTCACATATGAGGAAGCTGCCTTTCCCCTAATGCACTGGACTGCAAGATTGGTTTGAACCATAAGGTCAGTGGTTCCGCTCCTCAGAAACTCTATAGAGGTTCATTATGGGTCAGAACCGACTCGACGGCACTTAACAACAACAATCCATCAGTGTAATTCTCACCTTCTCCTTTAAATATTTGAGTCACATCCTCCCACAAGGGCACCCCCTCCTTGCCCTTCTTTGGATGGTGCAATTTCACCCAGGTGCTGGCTTCAGTGTGCAGGGTGATCAGTAGTTCCTGCAGCATGATGAAATCCGCACACCTGAGGGATTTTATGGTCTCAGCCCACAAGACAGAGAGCACTCTGACTGTGCTTGTCCATTTCTGGTAAGAAAACTGCCAGAACCTACAGTCTCCTCTGGCTAGCTAGAGGCTTCACAGATGATCATCAACTCCTGTTCCTCAGCGTCCTCCACTCTCAGTGTCCTAGGGACCATACAGTACCCAAATCTGGAGTCTGAATTGTTTTTCAATCAATGACTCTCAAGGAACATCTCCTATCCTGGGTTTCATCTAGCTCTTCAGCAAACACCAGAGGCTACAGATATTTTATACTGAGCAGCCACCCCTGGCGATGCTGGACAGAAAATATGAGTCAGCAGGAAGGATCTAAAAGGTTCCCTCAAAATCAAAAGCCAATCTCATTGCCACTGAACACCATGTGTTACAGCGTGGAACTACTTCATTGAGTTTTCTTGGTAATTATCTTTAAGGATGTAGATCACCAGGCCTTTCTTCAAAGGACCTTTAAGGTTCCATCACAGTCAGAATTGGCGCTCTGGTAGCGTAGTGATTACGAATCCGGCTGCTAACCTCAAGGTCGGCAGTTCGAAACTACCAGCCCTTCCGCCGGAGCACTATGAGGCTTTCTGCTCCGGTAAAAAATTTCAGCCTCGGAAACCCTGTGCAGGGTCACTATGAGTCGGAACCGACTCCACGGTACTTAACAACAATAAATGTTTATTTTGACTCCTAGCTCTTTCCCTTGTTGGCCGTCCAAGTCACCAATCCCATCTACTACGGTTTCCTGTTCCTTTACCCAAGGGAGAGCATAAACTTTACTCCCAGTGCAGGACCGGCCCAGCCTTGTCCTCCGGGCCTTTGTCTGAGCCCGACTACGGGGATGTTCGGCACACGGCAGGCGATAAAATAACCACGAGCGAGGTGGTGCTCCCGCTTCCCTGATCGTTCCCTCCCCAAACCCCGAAGAGCCCCCGACTCACCCTTCTCTAGCGACTTGGATCGCACTACCTCGCCCAACCGCCGGGGCCGGTTAGTCTTAGCGCAGCTTTGAGACGCCGCAAGGGATCCTCCCATCTACCGCCGCGGAGGGCGGCCCAAGACCCGGTGCGCCTGCGCGATAGCGGCCTCCGAGCATCGTTCCCAGCGTCCTCCGGGGGATGTCTTTCCCGGCTCTGCTGCTCCTCCGCGGATGCTGGATCCGGGGTTGTGGCCCTTTCTTAAGGGGGCATCCGGATATCCGAATCCTGCAGAGGGAGATAGAATTTCCTTTTTATGCCCGCAAAGATTACCGAATAAAACCATTTTCTTGATCCGAGATTATTTCTGTGTAAAAATTTGAGATTGTTTCTGGTTGGAGATTTGAAATCTTTGACAAAAGGAAAACATAGGCCACTTTTTTGTTGAAAAATATTGTTAAGTACCGTTGAGTCGATTCTGCCTCATAGCGATCCTGTACAGGGTTTCCAAGGAGCGGCTGGTGGGTTTGAACTGCTCGCCTTGAGGTTAGTAGTTCAGTGTTAACCTATAGCGCCGCACAATATTAGTGTCAAGTGATCCATACCACTTTAATTTAATAATATATAGTTGGATGTAGGAAAAGACTGGAAATTTAATGCAATCCAGGATTGTAATAAAGGAAAACCAGGAGACCTGGCGCAGCGCTGTAGGATGAACACTGGATTGCTAACTGCAAGGTGGTTGTTGTTGTTAGGTGCCACCAAGCCCGTACTGACTCATAGAGACCCCATGCACAACAGAACAAACACAGCCTGGTCCTGGGCCAACCTCACAATCATTGCTACACCTGAGCCCATTGCTGCTGCTACTGTGCCAATTCATCTCGTTGGGGGTCTTCCTCTTTTTATCCGAACCTCCACTTTAGGAAACATGATACTCTTCTCAGGGACTGGTCCCTCCTGATAATGTGTCCAAAGTATACAAGTAAAATTTGCTCAAGAAAATTCAAAAAACAGCTGCAATCATACTCTTGACAGAGAACATCCAGAGGTTCATGCCTAATTCAGGAGAGGAAGTGGAACCAGGGCTATCACTGTTAACATCAGATGGATCTTGGCTGAAAGCAGAGAATACCAGAAAGTTGTTTACATGTGCTTTATTGACTACACAAAGACTTTCAATTGTGTGGACCATGACAAGCTATGGACAGACAACATTGTGGAGAATGAGTGTTTCGGAACACTTAATTGTGCTCATGAGAAACCTGTACATAGACCGAGAGGCAATAGTCTGTACAAAACAAGGGGACACTGAATCATTTAAAATTAGGAAAGGTGTATGCCAGGGTTGTAGTCTTTTACCATGCTTATTCAATCTGTATGCTGAGCAAATAACCCGAGAAACTGGATTATATGAAGAAAAACATGGTATCAGGATTGGAGGAAGACTCATTAACAA